CAACTTTTCTATATCAGTCTGGATCTATGTGGGGGGGAAGGAAAGAGGAAAGGATGGGAAAGATTGACAACATATAGGAAAGTGAAAAGAGTTGGGCAAGAGGAAAGGAAGGAAAAACGGGAGAGACGGGATAGAGGGGACAACATTAAAAGGGGCAGTTCCTGGAAAGGATGGGACAAGAGAGGAGGGGGGTGCTAGATGGGAGAGAAGAAACAATATTCGAAATGAAAGTAGTCATGGAAAGGATGGGACAAGAGAGAGGGGGGGGATGCAGGATGGGAGAGAAGAAACAATATTTGGAATGAAAGTATACATGGAAAGGATGGGACAAGCGAGGGGGGGATGCAGGATGGGAGAGAAGAAACAATATTTGGAATGAAGTATACATGGCAAGAGTAAGAGGGAGGGAAGATGTCAGGGATGGTACTAGAGGGTATAAGGAGAAGTAGGAAGGAAGTGAAAGGAGTGGGAGAGAAAGTGAAGGAATTAAAGCAGTAAAGCTGGGAAAAAAAGAAGCATCAGCTGATGTTACATCTACGTTAACAAAGGATGGGAAAAGGGGGGAATTGTACAAATTTGAAATAACTTCTTTCATTTTTCTTAGTTTTAAAACTCACTTTTTCTATCTGTAGGCATTCAAATACTGGATCAATAGAATCTTTATTCAAAGAAAAATATCTGATATGGAAAAGATTAAATAGTCTTCATTTAAGACTTAAAGTCCACGATTTTAGCGTTATGTTAATTGTTGGAGCATTTTTATATAAAAGAACACAGTTAAGTGAAACATAAATTATTTTGTAAAATTATCTAGTTTAATATTGTTTATCATCTTGTAGCTTGAATAGTGAGTGTTTTTATCTTTTTCCTGAGAAACTGAGTTTTTGTCACAAACTTATATTTTCTCATCACATGTTTGCAACATATTTTTTTATTTTTGGAAAATATAAATTATTTAATAAAACAGAATTTATATTTTGACAAATTAAAGGTTTGCAACATATTGGGTTGCAAAGATAAAGGGACTTAAAAATCAGAGTTTGTGTCAAAAACTCAATTTCTTTGAGGCAATTGTTCAAGCAAACATTATCCTCTCCTTTCAAGTTCTTATATTCCGTATTTGTAGTTTTTAAATTGAAATTTTGAAATTGAAAATTTCAATCATAAAATAAAGTTTAATGACTTCTCTGAAAGTTGAATCAGTGAACAATTAAGACGTGGTTCAAATTATTATTCACAATTCTACTATTTCTCGCTATTCAATAAATTCGTTTAATTTTTGTGTTTTTATTATATTGATAATAAAATGACAAATAAAAAACAAGTTTTTTTTGGGTAACCCGGCCTGTAGTTAATGCCGTATATAAAGCATATTTTAAATTGTTCAATTCAAAAACAACCTCCTTTATTATTGTTCAATGTAAAGTGTTGAAAAGTTCTCAAGTCTCTGAATTTTGTTTTGCCAAGTTGCTGAGCTCAACTTCACAAAACTTTTCATGCATCACAACTTTGGAACATATTCATAATAAAACCAAATGGTATTTAAAACTAAGCTTATTTATCTGTATCCCTGTATCCCTGTATCCCTGTATCCCTGTATCCCTGTATCCGAATTCATGTATTCTTGTATCCTTATATCCATGTTTTCTATGAATATGTGATCCCTGTATCCCTGTATCCCTGTATCCCTGTATCCCTGTATCCCTGAATCCCTGTACCCCTGAATTCATGTATTCTTGTATCCTTATATCCATGTTTTCTATGAATATGTGACTTCTTTATCCCTGTATCTCTGTAATTCTGAACCCTGTATCCCTTTATCCCTGAATCCCTAAATTCCTGTATTAATTTATCCTTATCTCAATGTATCCTTATGTCCATGTTTTTCTGTATATCTGACTCTATGTATCCCTGTATCTCAGTAATTTAGTATCCCTGTATCCCTGTATTCCTTAATCCCTGAATTCCTGTATTAATTTATCCTTATCTCAATGTATCCTTATACCAATGTATCCTTATGTTCATGTTTTTTATGTATATCTGACTTTCTGTATCCCCGTATCTCCGTAATTCAGTATCCCTGTATCCCTGAGTCCCTGAATTCCTGTATTCATTTATCCTTATCTCAATGTATCCTTATACCAATGTATCCTTATACCAATGTATCCTTAGATCCATGTTTTTATGTATATCTGACTTTCTGTATCCCTGTATCCCTAATATCTTGTATTTATGTATCCTTTTATCAATGTATTCCTTTATCCATGTATCCTTATAATACTTATATTCCTGTATCTCCATATCCCAGTAAATTCTGTATCCATGTATCTCTGTAATAAATATCGGGAAACACGATATTCTGTAAACCTGCAGTACATTGTACATTATTAAATATCTGTGTTTGTAAACTTCTACACATAAAAACCATTATTGATTTGAACTGCGTTTCAAATAAATACGTAGCGTGATTAGCTTAATCATGTGATATATATATCATGACGTACATCTTAACTGATAGTTGATAGTTCACGAGATAGTAGCCGTGTGTTGACATTGATAGTCATCTGAGTTGTACCTTGATAGATACGTGTTAGAGAAACTGTTATTGAGTAGGTTATTTACTACAAAATGGTAGCAGCGGCGAGTTTCAAGGAACCCTAGTTAAATGCCACAGAGTATAACAGTGGACAGTTTTAAATTGTACCCTAGAGTATCTAGTGAAGAATCGGATAACAGAGTATCAGAATGAACAGAATACGAAATGTGAAGGATATGAGGCTGTGAATGGAAATATTACGGAAAGTACCAGACAACGGAAAATCAGAACCTCAAATTCGCAAGCACAGAGTATCAAATCATACTGCAAAAGATGGAGCAATGTAAGCTGAGATGCAAACATTGGGAAAGATTTAAAGAGTGAAAGCAATGTTGGTGCAGTGGGGGAAGACATGGAGACATGGTGACATACAACAAAGCATAGAATATCTACAGGGAGTAGAGGAAACTGGAAGAACAACCACGAGTATGTACAATCACAATCATATGAGCGAAATTGAAGTTGTTATTAAAGAGGAAATACGAGATTTTATCTAGAGTGCCCCCAAATATAATAGAGAAAATATTCTAATGGTGTGAAAATTTGGTAAAAATCTGACTGACTGTACATGGGAAACAATCCCAAATAAAGATGTGAAACGGATGCTAGGATCCTGTGTCACGGGACCAGCTAGAAGAGAAATAGTGCTGTTTTTTCCCACAGGATCAGCATTTGAGAGATGTGAAACAGGAGTTTTTTTTTAAATATTGAAAAGATTCTCACAAGAAAAGTATGATGAAAGCCAGAGACAGTAATAACTTAATAACTAGACAAGAAACAGTGAGAAGAGGAGGAGACCAGAAGAACTCATGCAGACAAGAGAGAATGAGAAACAGGAATACCTTGAAAGGAAACAGGAAAGTGGTGAAGATACCAAAGAATATTATGCTGACAAGGAAGAGTTATGGTTACAATTGTAATTACGTATTTAAACTTTAACTTGTTGCATGTAAACCTCAAATACATTATTTGATATAGAGACTCCGTACTGGTTGCTGCCAGAGAGTAATTGTGTCCTTGTTCTAAACGAATGAAGATTGTGCCTTTAGTTTTGGCATTGATAGTTACAAGCTAGTGTCTAGAGGACATCAATAGCTTACAAGAACGTGCCTTGAGTTTTGGCATTGATAGTTACGAGCTAGTGTCTAGAGGACATCAATAGCTTACAAGAACGTGCCTTGAGTTTTGGTATTGATAGTTACGAGCTAGTGTCTAGAGGACATCAATAGCTTACAAGAAAATGCCTTGAGTTTTGGCATTGATAATTACGAGCTAGTGTCTAGAGGATATCGATAGCTTACAAGATCTTGCCTTGAGTATTGGCAATGATAGTTATGAGCTAGTGTCTAGAGGACATCGATAACTTATTAGATCTTGCCTTGAGTTTCGGTATTGATAGTTACGAGCTAGTGTCAAGAGGATATGGATAGCTTACATGATCACGTCTTAAGTTTTCGCATTGATGGTTATGAGCTAGTGTCTAAGGGACATCGATAGCTTACGAGATCGTGCCTTGAGTTTTGGCATTGATAGTTACGAGCTAGTGTCTAGAGGACATCGATAGCTTACGAGATCGCGCCCAGTGGTAGTGGCGTTGATAGTAGCCGCGTGTTGACATTGACAGTCAAGAGAATCAGAGTTGTACCTGGATAGATACGTGTTAGAGAAACTTTTATGGAGTAGGGTATTTACTACATCTCTGTATCTCTGTATCCATGTATTCCCTGTATCCCTATACCCCCGAATATCTGAATCCCTGTATCACAGTATCCCTGTATCCCTGTATTGCTGTTTCCTTGTATCCCTGTATCCTTGATAGATCGCTGTTAAAGTAATGAAACAAAGAATTTTAGTTCAACTGGAAATTTTCCAAAATTCTTTAGAATTAATTTACCGTTGTTTAGTGCACAGAGAAGTTTTCAAATAAGATAGAGTTCAAAATTTTATAAACTTTTATGAAAAGAGTTGAAATATTTCTTTTAGTATTGTAACATTACAAATTCTGCTAATAAAACGAAATAGAATAGAATTGTTTACTTAAATTTATTAATTTAGTCGAAATAAAAAAGTTTAATCCTGGTTCAAAACAGCTTATTTATCACGTAGAAAACATGATCTAGGTCGGATTGATAAGAGAGAAATTGTACTTACTAAAGTGGGGGATATACTGGTAGGATAGATAAAAGAGAAATTGTACTTACTAAAGTGGGGGATATACTGGTAGGATAGATAAAATAAAAACTGTACTGTTGATCTAAAGTGGGGGATATACTGTTCGGAAGAGAAACTGTAATGGTTTACTGTTGTAAAGTGGGGGATATACTGATCGGATTGATAAAAGATTAACTCTACTTATGTACTACTGTACTAAAGTGAAGAACTAGAAATCGTAAAACCTTCTCACCTCTCTTCAACGGAATCAGACCACTGTTCATCAGAGATAGTTTAGTTGCCTAGAAATAGAATTCATATAATGGAAACCAAAAACTGTGGTATAGATAAAGTTTATTGCTTAAATACATGTATCTGTGTATATTGAACGAGTTCACAATTACAAATTGATGATTATTTAAAGAGTACAAAGTATAAAGCAATTAGGTGGAAAATAGCCCTTGGCTGTTTTGATTATTTTTTCCACTTAACTTCAATAATGATAACAAAACATTTCAATTAAATAGATTTGAGATCAGGGTGCGATTTTATCTTATGCAAAATAGTTTAGACATTTATTAGAATAACTAGATTTTAAAATAATTTTCTGACATGTACAAGACAAATATCAAAACATATTAAAACCTATTTAATTAGTCTTACATGAATAACAATTCGGTTTATAAGAAATTGTAATGTAATTTCTAATTTTCATATTGAGAATGTCAATAAGAAGGCCTCAGTAAAGCAATACTGAAGTGTTTTAGATGTTTTTTAAAGCAAATATAGTTTTACTAGTAATTTATTAAATATCTTATTATGTAAAATGGGCCTGTTTACACTGCACAATTGAAGCAGTGTCTAATACTATTTAAAATCCTAACTTTTCTCTAAAAGTCGTTTTCTGGTTCTCACTGCACTTATGATAAATAAAAATATAAATTAATTTATTTGAGAATATAAATAAATAAAAAGTGTAAGTGTGGCAGGATGGAAGGAAGGTTATATTTTCCTTGAGCAAACTGAGTTGATTATATTAAGCTCCTGGACAAATATTTATAAAGCGAACAAAAACACGACGTGGAGAAGATAATTGAATCCAAGGAAACCAGGGGGTACACGGAGAAACCAGGAGAAATCAGGGACTTGGAGAAATCAGAGACATCAAGAGAAACCAGGAGAAACCAGGAGAAACCAGGAGAAACCAGGAGAAACCAGGAGAAACCAGGAGAAACCATGAGAAACCATGAGAAACCATGAGAAACCATGAGNCTGGAAAAATGAAGAGAAACCAGGAAAAACCAGGAGAAACCAGGAAAAACCAGGAGAAACTACGAGAAACTAGGAGAAACTAGGAGGTCTCAAAACGAGAATATCAAGATATGTCTTCTAGGATAAGTGTAGATAAGTGAGGAGAATTTGATAATCTAACCTGAAAGAAACTAGTTTTCTCCGGTCCTGAAGCAGTTTTCAGCTGCCGACGTTTTCGTTCCCGTTCCATCTCCTGGTACCGTTTACTACTCTGCGATCTTTGTCTTTGATCAGCCGACAATCTAAATACAAATAATGGATCATGTATTTCGGAGAAAAAAACTTGTCCGTGCTTTTCTTGATAAACTTGGAATTGAAAGTGCGTGGCGAAGGTTTGTAACTAAAAATACACTTTTCTCATTTAAGATTTTTTCATTAAATATTTTTATTTTTACGGTGTTTTTATCTGAATAAAGAAATGCTCTATTTCAAAATTTTTTACAGGGCCTGATAACTCGACTCAAATATCCATCTTTGCAATCTGATGTCTTAATTTCTTTGATATTTCAAGCGTTGAAAACTTTGAATTCTCATCAGGTTGTAAAACTAAATGTTTTAGAAAATTTAAGTTTGAGGCAAAAATCAGTTTGTTTAACTAAGTAAAAATAAAAAATAGTTTATTTGCCTTTCTAGCTCTATAGAAAGAATTAGTTTTATCTAAAACATTACAAGAATTCCCTATAATCCCAGATAGCAGTAAACCGCTATCTTCCTTTCCCTAACTGGCCTTAAATGACAAAAAAAAATTTTGTTTGCCAAAAGTCATTGTTTTTTTTCGTTTAACTAGCCACTATGGCTGAAAAATTGCCGGGTCAGTTTTAAGCATTATAACAAAGTTACAAAAAGTATACTTCGCAAAGAAAGTTTTCTAGTTTCTTTTTACTTTCTCCTCGAGGCTTTAGAGCATTTAGTGATAAAGGAATGTGAGTTGCAATGGGTGAATAATTGATTAAAAATTCCACTAAAAAAATATCCTAGAGTTTAGTTACGCCTTTGACCTCTTTTCACTTAATATTTTATTATTTTCTAGACTACCTTGACATTCTATTATTTTCTAGACTAGACTACCTTGAAATTCTATTATTTTCTAGACTATCTTGACATTCTATTATTTTCTAGACTACCTTGACATTCTGTTATATCCTAGACTACCTTGACATTCTATTATTTTCTAGACTACCTTGACATTCTATTATTTCCTAGACTACCTTGACATTCTATTATTTTCTAGACTACCTTGACATTCTGTTATATCCTAGACTACCCATTCTATTATTTCCTAGACTACCTTGACATTCTATTATTTCCTAGACTACCTTGACATTATGTTATTTCCTAGACTACCTTGACATTCTGTTATCCACATCATCAACTTCATCATCTGTAAGAGCAGTCTGTTCTCCCTGAAATCCCCACTGTGGAATAACATCTCCTCCAGCTCCGTACTGTCGACCATCCCCACCGTACTGTAGTCCTCGGATTCCAGGATGAGGATAGGGTTGATGCTCAGGGTACTCATCATCATACGCAGCATCATGGTATCCTCCTGAAAATGAATCAAAATTCAGCTTGCTACCTTTCTCAATAATTGCTAAAATACAAGACGAAAACTTTGCAATCTTATATAACCATCACGGTGATATTATCTGATCTTAACATCTTCGATACATCCAGGACTTAAATCTAGTTAGTTTCGAATGATATTTGCACATACTTTAAATATATTTGATAAATTAAGAGTGAGAAAAATGTAAATGGATCAAATAATGATAAAAAATGAATAAATGAATAAAGGAAAAGATAAATGATTAATAAAACTATATATGAAAAATTACATCTCAGAAATGTTCCTATATAGAGCTGTAATTTCTAAATTGAATCAAAATTATTTTTATCTAAAAAACAATCCACAAAGATGTAACATCGTAACATATGTAAAATTTTAAAATTTTTATTATATGTAATTACACATAATTATTATGTATACTATCGGATTTTAAATAAATATCTAGATATTTAAGAATACATGCATATTTAGAATAAGTATGAAAGGAAGTATTAATGGAGGACTGTAAACGAGGATTGAAAAAATAATATATCTATATATAAATTTGGCTTGTCTGTCTGTTTTTCTGTCTGTCTGTCTGTCTGTCTGTCTGTTTGTATCCAATAAACGTCAAAACGGCTGAACCGATCGGGCCCAAATTTTTTGTGGGACATCTAGGAATGGGGAAGGTTTATGAATGATTGAAATTTTAAATATTTGTCTCCATCAAAATTCGATCTTCATTAAATTTTTTAAAATTTTGAAAATCCACGAAATTTTTTGTGAAAATCCGCGAATTATTTTTGTTTTGTTTTACGATGTACACAAAGAGAACATGTTCACAATTAATTTAGAAGATGGGTGCGAAGCGCCCTCTAAGGCTAGCATAATAAGTTTGAAGATATCTTTTTTAACTGTTTTTGTCTCTTATATCCAACAAAAAATCTATTAAATCTAATATTATTTTACCCCAAGATTCATCAGACTTGATAACATTTATATGAATCCTACAGTTTTTTACTGTAAGATGTATTCAATATTTTAAAGATTTTAATTATTCTTACAATTTCTTAATCCTGATGACACCATGAAAAATCTTTGAAAAATTGGAAAAATCTTTTGAGAACGTTTTTTAATAATAAAATTGGAACCATTTATCTGTTGCAGTCATTGGTAAATTTGTTTTACAGTCGATAAAATCCTAGATATCGAAATTCTATTTGAAAGTTTAAACTTTAAGTTTTAAACTCAAGGAGTGCTTTAAATTGATACCTGTAAAATAGCAAAGTATTGATGCAATGTTTTAAAGTTCTATTCAGTATCCTCTGGATTCACTCCAGTATCCCCGTATCCCTCCAGTATCCCCTGTATCCCTCCAGTATCCCCTGTATCCCTCCAGTATTCCAGCTGTATCCCTCCAGTATCCCCTGTATCCCTCCAGTATCCCCTGTATCCCTCCAATTTATCAATTTATGTTTTACTTTGAAAAGTAGATGAATAAAAAGATGAAACTTTAAACTAGATATAGAAATGCATGCATATATAATCTAATATAAGTATTGCAAATGGTCCCGGAGCAAATATTTGAACTTAAAGGAAGTTTTCGTGAAATGAAAAGGGGGTATGTGATTAACAAGAGTAGGATATGTTATCCATCAGTGTAGCTATAGTACCATGTACCATATACATATATATTTGTTTAAATAGGAATTGATAAAAAAAAATAGTTTCCATGACACCAAGAAAAAATTTTACTTTTTCATACAGTGAAACCCTTAATAACGTTAAATGATTATATGGAACTCTTTAAAACTGTTCCCCCATATTATTCATGGCTATTTATTTATTTTCGCAAATACTGAAATTTACGTAATACAGTATAAAGATCATTGATAAATTGTCAAGACGGCATTTGATAAATTCTTCCGATGTATTCGTTATTAAGGGTTTCACTGTATCTAAAAGTTTGATCATGAATTTTCTACTTATCAGATTGCACAACACGTTGTTCAACAAGACAATATTTATATTTAAAAATGATGGTAAGAATTCTACAAGAAATTATCTTTAAAATTAGCATTTTAAAGGAAGTGACCGGCTATGTAAGGTAGTTGAACTGAGGACGCAATGTTGTCGAAAACTTCTATAGGATTCATTTGAGACATATTTCACTTTTTAAAGATCTGTAAATCCTGAGTTTGAGCGCAAATTTGACGTTCAAAACTCCTGATTTGGGGGTGGATACGCTTTCAGAATTAGTTTTTTTTAAAATTATTCATTAACGACGACATAAAATGTAAAAATACTCTACAATAAACTACAGACGTCATGTTTAGGAACATTTTGAGAAAATAAAAATTAATCTTATCATCGAAAATAAGTAATCTTGTTCAATTATTAGTTTCTATTATCTCATTATTCTAGCTTCTCGTTATTCACAAAGATGTTCGCAGATTTTCTATCTTTAAAAAGTGAAATATGTCTCAAATGAATCCTAAAGAAGTTTTCGACAACACTGCGTCCTCAGTTCAACTACCTTACATAGCCGGTCACTCCCTTTAACAGTATTAAGTATTTTAAGTATCCTAAAGTAAATTAGAATTTAAATGTCAGTTGAGAGATCTATAAATTAAATATATTTTCTACTAAATTAATTATTATAAAAGATCAAAAATAAATTTGAAAATAAGAACGTTTTAAACCTCCAAAATATGTAAAATCTAATTAGAAAAAAAACCTTCGTGTCTTTAATAAGCTGTTCCTTTCAGATACTGAAGAAACCCCTTTTTTTGTGAAAACCTTAAATTGCCAACATTTTTATCTATTCTTCACGGGAAATTTAAAAATCAACGAGCCAAAAAAAAAACCAAGAAACAGATGCTAACTTATACAAATAATTGTTAAAATCATGATTTTTATTTTTTTATTATTTATCATATTTTCCGATTACTTTTATACCTTTCACGGGCAGCCGTAGTACATTTGAATTTCCTAGCCGGGTCAACCTTTCCGGTCCCAGTGTGTACTGTACCTAGCTCTATGGACAGCCGGTGCAACAAGGTTGACGCGGTCAGAATTTATGCTTCATATAGGTTGAATTTACTTTTACTAAAGGGGCAGAGGTGCGTACTTTTGATAGATTAAGACTCTTCTGTTTCAATTTTAATTGTGACTCTATCTGTGGGGCATCTTTTCTTTGCACAATATATATATCAATAAAAAAAGTTCGGGAATTTAATAATATTGTTTTATCGCGCATTTTCAAATTAAAAAAATCAAAAACTTTTGGACACAAAGGAATTGAGTTTTTGCCACAAACTCTGATTTTCTAATCTCTACATCTTTGTATACCAATGTCGTAGACCTTATATTTTTAAAACTATTGATACTTATAGATAGAGTAATCTAAATTTGAAATATCAAAGGTTTGTACCATCAGGTTGCAAAGATATTGGGATAAGAAGATTTGAGTTTGTGGCAAAAACTCAATTCCTTTTTGCAATTTTGAACATCTATAAAAGGACAAATAAACAACCAGGCAAGCAAAGTATAACTATAGATACAGAGGTCGTCGATTATATCAATACAATAACGACGACTTTATATAAATAATGCTTTGATTCCTAACAAGTGTATTTTAAATTACAATTACGGAATGATGAAAGAAGTAGGAATAGAGCTTTCTATTTCTATAGTTTTAATATAATAAACTCCATGAATAGTGCAGTTAAATTTTATTATATTAGTGTGCAGTGTGCATACTATTCCAGAACATTTTATTATCTCCATGGACTCTCCAGTCTCTAGGATTTACTACATATTTTAACATAAACTTATATTCTCTTGTTTTTAAAATTCCGTTTATTTCCTAATTTAACCATGTCTCTCTTTTTATTATTTAATCCGTCTCCCTTTTCATTTTTATACAATCCACTATTCTCTCCTTTTATTATACAATCAACTATTCTCTCCTTTTATTATACAATCCACTATTCTCCCCTTTTATTATACAATCCACTATTCTCTCCTTTTATTATACAATCCACTATTCTCGCCTTTTATCATACAATTCGCTATTCTCTCCTTTCATTATTTAATCCCGCTATATGTACCTTCCTTTCATTTTATTATTTAATTCGTCATATTTCCCTTTCATTATTTAATCCGACAACCTTTCATTTTTCTTTTTAATCCGCTATCGAATAGGTTTAAAAAGTTAAGGTTTCTCAAAACTTAAAGATATAAAATTATTTAAGAAGGCGTAAAGCAACCAACAAGAAATCACATCATACATGCATCTGTATGCATTCGCTGCCTAATATAATATGCATAATGTGCATTTCTCCGATATAACCTTCAGGATCCTTTCTACCGGGATCTTTGGAAATTGTCAGTTTGATCTTTCACCTCAGCATTTATTCTTCAATTAGAGATTCTAATGTTACAAGCTTTAGGCAAAAGCATCTATGATAATTTTGCCAATTACTAATATATGTCAAGGGCTACGAAAATGTATTTGTGAGTTAATGAAGTTGAATAAAAGACCAAACCGTTGCAAAATGTTCACAACGAAAGCTTTGTCTGATCAAGTAAGAATATATATCCACGTTTTTGTTTTTGAAATTGATTATTTACATATGTGGTTTCGCTAAAAAAAAGTGACTGGCGCATTTCTTACTTCAGAAACAATGAAGGAGTTTACAGAATTAAAACTTTTCAAGCTAGAAAACCTAAGTTATCTTGTCCATTATTGATCCCATTAAGGATTCAAGGACACTGTTGAGAATCAGACATGCCTCTCGTAAAATGTAAATACAGTTGAGATTCATCATCTAAAATTGCATTTAGGTCTTCGTCTTTAGGAATAAACTCCCACTGTTTATCCGCAGTCGAGAAATTCAGTTCAAAGATATCAAGTTTGAAAAAATAAGATTTTGTCAAATTCTAAAAAAATAATAAATTCTCTCTTTTCACGGTATTATTCATTCTCCAGCAACAATTGAGCTGGATTCTCCGGAATAATTAAGGTTTAATGGATGAAATAATATCCTTAGTATTATCATCAGTTACTGGAATATTACAGGAATGATATAGAAGGGACAAACGGTATTTTAAATCTTGTTTTCTTCCATCCATGAATTCATATCTATTCGATAAACTAGCTTCTGTGCCCGGCATTTTCCGTGGATTTTTAGAAAAACCCTTAAAGAAATAAATCTTAATTTTTAGCCAATGTTACCCCCTGGGTACTAGTGAGTTCCCTTAAAAAAATTCAACCAATTTGGTTCAGCCGTTTGGCCAGCTATAGCTAACATATATATAAATGAATATAATAAAAAGCCTTGCTCATATACATATATACATATTTGTATGTATGGGTGTATGTATGTATGTATGTATGTATATATATATATATGTTAGCTATAGCTGGCTAAACGGCTAAACCAAATTGCCTGGATTTTTTAAGGGAACCTATCGATTTTTTTAAATTCGAAATTTTTTTAAATTTTTTTTTTAATTCGACGGGCAACGCTGGGTACTTCGGCTAGTATATATATGAGCGAAGAGCTTTATTATATTGATAAAAGATAACTAAGAACACATATAATATTTACAAAATGGAAGAAAGCATATCGCAGGAAATATTTCGGCCGTCATTTAGAAACCTTTTATCAATACTTATTGTATCATCATCGAAAATGTTATTTTTCAATATCACTTTTTAGTTCCGCAATTTTTATCAGCTTATTGATAAAATCCAAACAAATTATGATCCCCAAACATAAACTTGTTACTCCTGTACAGTGTACACCCCTGTACACTCCCAATCGCTTTATTTTTTTATTTTTGTCGATATCCTTTGTCTTTGCTGTATAAATACGCAATTAAATTTTGAAGAGAAGACACAATTTAAAATTTTCTATTTTAAGATAGAAAAACAAGGTTATTTTTATAACAAACCATTGTGAATCAGGCATGTAACTCTGAAATAAAGGATCATTTTAAAGTACGTCAACAGACCCTTTAGAGTACGTCGACTGCTTCTTACAATAAATTGAAAGCAGATACTTTTCAATTTTGGAGAGAAGAAAAGTTTACAATCTTAATCTAATATATATCATTTGGAATAATACAACTGTAGTTCGGATAACAAAGACCAATGCATGAATAAATTGCTGAGTTTTATATGAAACTAGGCTTTAACGGCGCTTCGCGCCCATCTTCTGTTTCCATAGTGAACATTTTCTCTTTGTATACATTAAAAAAAATAACAAAAAAGTTCGCGGATTTATATAAAAAATCGTGTATTTTCAAATTTTATTGAAAATCTAATTTTGTTGGAGGCCTATTTTTGATCATCTATAGATCTTCCCTGGGGTCATCTGAGATCCCACACAAAATTTGGGCCCGATCGGTTCAGTCGTTTTGACGTTTTTTGGATACAAACAAACAAACAGACAAGCTACGTAAATATACAGATTGAAGATTTTATAACACCAGAAATATAAAATGTTTTCTATTTACCTCCGAACCCACTTCCGGTGGAGAAGTTGGCCGGCAGGGCTTGTGCATCGTCTTCAAGGGCGGAGAAGTCCTGATAGGTTTGGAAGGCATTACTCTGGGACACCTGCCCATTCCCCTTACCCCCAGACGGGGCCATCATAATGAATGATAAAAGATTTAAGTTCGATTAGAAATATTCTGATATTCTCGTATTCTTATTAATTAAAACACTTGTTGCTCTAAATAATCACTAAACTTAATAAACCACTGTATAAGCTGTGAAAACCTGTGCTAAACTATTAAGTTCTAGAAAGTTTAGAAAGCCGCGAGCTGGGCAGAGCAGAGTATAGGCCCAGCTATAGTTTGTTCACTATACTGCACACAGGAGCCGGTCACTGTCTAGTGGTAGGCCTCTAGTATACTAACACAGGACAGGAGTAGAGTAGAGTAAGGGGGGGGGACGCGTAGAGTAGAGAAACGGAGGTTTATCCTCTGACAGGTGATTACCGTCGGAATCTACCTGAATGTATAAAAGTAAACAGTATACTCATACACACTTTACGTTCCTCAAACATTATATATTCAGGAGTACACCATCTTATACACTTCTATTAGTTTTCTTATTTTTTCTAATCCCCTGACCTACCTAATATAATCCATTAGTATTATAATCCCTTGACCTACCTAATATAATCCATTAGTATTATAATCCCTTGACCTATCTAATATAATCCATTAGTATTATAATCCCTTGACCTACCTAATATAATCCATTATTAAATAATCCATATAAGTACCTAATATCACGAAAGAAGTGACTGTAACTAATCTCAAGCAAATTTCACGGTCAAGGGCAAGTAGGTTAAAATATTTCTGTAAAGGGAATATAGAGGAAAAGAAAATATGGGGAAACTTGCATAAAAAATTCCCCCTCTCATTTTTAAATGACTTGTCAGACAAAATAGAAACCTGAGCCAATACAAAATTTAAATATTTGGCCCAAATTTCTATCTTTCCGAATAAAATATTATAAAACTAAGAACCAGAGATTTGCAAATTTACAACTTTAATATATTTTCTGCTGACAATAAATATTCTATATTGAAGAGAGAGATAAAGATTGGATGGAGCCTGGTTCTCCTGCTGCTCCGTCCCAGTATTAGATTCTCTTCAATCCTCTCTAGGGAACTGAGATGAGGCACTCATGGGAAATTATCCTGTACTCTGGGTACGAAGTTTATCTGCAGAGCAAAATCAAATTTTCCTGAACACACTTACAAATCCTTCAGATTGCAGGTATCCTATAAATTTACACTGCACATAATGCAAATCCTACAGATTCTACAGATTGCGGATATCCTATAGATTTTACAGATTGCAGACATCCTTTGAATTCTGCATTGCACATCTTGCAAATCCTGCAGATATATCCCAGAATCTAAAGATTGTAGATATCCTACAGATTCTACGAATTGTATATATCCTTCGGATTCTACAGATTGCAGGTATACTATAGATTCTGCAATACACATCCTGCAAATCCTACAAATTCTACTGATTGCAGATATCCTAGATTCTTCAGATTGTAGATAGCCAATAGATTCTACAGATTGCAGATATATCAGATTCTACAGATTGTAGATATCTCAGATTCTACAGATTGCAGATATCTCAGATTCTACAGATTGCAGATATACTATAGATTCTGTACTGCACATCCTGCAAATCCTATATATTCTACACCAATTGCAGATATCCTATAGATTCTGTACAGAACATCCTGCAAATCCTACAAATACTACAGATTTCATATATCCTACAATACCACACAGATTATTCAGATTCTATAGCGATATAAAAAAGCTTTTCACTTCATACATATATAGATATATTTATATACATATATATATATATATATATATATATATATTTATGTTCGCTATTGGTTGACATTTTTTTAGGTAACCCATGGTTACATAGGGGTGACATAGGGCTAAAACAAATTGAAATAACACGGGGTACGCCGGGCACTTTAGCTAAAATCATGAATTCATACCAAGCGCGGGTAAACGACGGAAGTAACAATGACTAGAAAAAAATAAAGGGGGCAGTAGATAGTCCCCCCCCCCTCCTTCTAAAAAAGTTTTTAATTTTGTTAAAACTATTTTAAGTATTCTGTAAATATTCCTGAAAAGGATATTGAACTCGTTTTATTTTATTTAAATGTCTACTTTAAAATTAAAATATTAATTTCCATGGCATGATCATTTGAAACTTTTCCAGTTTTTTTCAAGATTTTTTTCGGATTTATTTCTACAAAATAGAATTTATAACTTTCCATTTTCTTCCTCAAAGAAACTGAATACTCTTCTTAAACTGTAATTTTCTATCGTAATAGCTTTGCAACCTGTTGTAGGCTTTTGATATTTCAAACTATGTTTGAATGATGTTAGATGAAAATGTCACGGTATGAAATTTCTAAGGTTTAGCCCAGTTGGTTGCGAAGATCAAGGGTGAGTAAAAATGAAGTGTAGTTTATCAAATAAAAGAAACATGTGAATCCCAACTACAGGGTGTCCCAAAAAACATGGGAATTCAGTGACGAATTCGATATCGTCTTTGTTATGAATTAGCATTGTAATACCTAATTTCAAAAGCAATAATATTATTATGTCTGCTAGAGTTTATTTTCTGAAAAGGGTAGAAGACTGTAAAGATGTGTCTATAATGTCTCCGCACGATGAACAGTGAAGACGGACAAGTTTACTCTGTTTGTATACTGCAATTTTCTTGTTTTACTAAGTACAACCGTATGCAGTCAAAACATAAACACACAAATTGTAAACATAGCAGACGAAACTCTTACAGATTACAGCTTTCTATTAGGTATCACTATACTAAATCAAAGAATTATTTAAAAAGACGATATCGAATTCGTCACTGAATTCCCATGTTTTTTGGGACACCCTGTACATTGCAACAAAAACTAATTAGACAGAATTTACAAGGGCGATTGCCGGGGGGGGGGGGGGCAAGGGGAGCAGTGCCTACCCCTCTAGAACTCAGAGCTATAGCACCTTACAAACCTTAAACTAAAGAGTTAAGAACATAAAAAAATGAGTTTGCTGTTTTTTTCCAGCTAGTTCTGTTTGAAGGTAAGATAAAGTAGTACTTTCAAGGTAACACTTTATGTGTGCCTTTAAAGAATATAAGACTTATGTCTGATATCCAAGAAGCAACGAGAATAGATTATATTATATATATATTATTATATATTAGAGTGGAATTTAGACAATCCCTCGGTATGAATTTGTTCAGTCCCTTTCAGTCTGAAAGGGAGTTCAAAGTGTACAAATCATGTAAATGTTCACAAATTAAATGCAGTAGAGTTAAATAAACTGTTAAATAAACTTTATAAAATGAATTAGGTGAATAAAAAAATCATTTGATTTATAGTTATAACGGAAAATCATCGTTTGTAAAGTGAAAGGCATAGAGTCTATGTGAAATGATCATTGGTCAATTATGAAACCAGCCTATTTCATAATTTGGTTTTCTTTTGATATTAATTTTAGATTTTCTATAAAATGATGTTCCAGGGGCCAAAAGGTTATATAGCACAAATATGTGAAGTACACCTGCATTATGGAAACAGTACAACAAAATGGCCGTTTAACACATTTTTTCTAGTAAATTCCACTCTAATATATATTCTATTCTCTTTGCCAAGAAGTCAAATGTTTTGAATTTACAGTTCAAATATTGCGGGCCTCATAGGAGCTTCTACGGAGGGGGAAAAAAAATTTTCACTTCGCGCATATTTGGCCTCCTCCTAGATTTATTTCTGTATACGCCCTTGAGAATTTAAAAAGAATTCTGAACCGAATAATATGCAACAAGAATTATCGACTGTAATTAGTGCCAATTATTTAAAAATATCAAATCAGGCCATTTGAAAAAATAAAAATTAAGTTTCAAAACATTGTACAGGCGAGCAACTTTACATTAAGCAAGGGGGGGGGGAAGTGCAAGTATTTTTTGCCCACTACCTAAACATTTCTAGGGGGGGGGGGGGG